ACGACCTGGTCAACTGACTGGAAGAGATTGATATTTGTTCCCATTCCAAAGAAAGGTGACCTGATAGAGTGCGGAAATTATTATTATTGATATGACATGCAAGCAAGATTCTGTGAAAATTATCCAAAAATGACTGGAGCAACATGTCAAGAGAGAACTGCCACATGTGCAGGCTGGGTTTAGAAGAGGCTGTGGTACTAGGAAAATTATAGCTAACGTTAGATGGACCTTGGTAGAGTATCAGAGGAATGTCTATCTGTGCTTCATTGACTATGCAAAGGCTTATAACTCTGTGGATCATAACAAGATGTGGCTAACCTTGAGAAAAATGGGAATCCCAGAATATTTGATTGTGCTTATGTGAAAACTATATTTGAACCAAGAGGTAGTCGTCAGAACAGAGCAGGGAGACATTTCATGGTTCAACATCAGGAAGGGCATTCACCAGGGATGTATTCTGTCTCCATACCTTTTCAATCTATATTCAGAACAGATCATCCTGGACTCTGGGCTGTACGAGGAGGAATGCGGCATCAGGATTGGAGGAAGACTCATCAACAACCTGCTTTATGCAGATGACACAACCCTGCTTGCTAAAACTGAGGAGGACCTAAAGAGCTTGCTGCAGAAGGTCAGGGACTGCAGCGTTATATATGGATTGAAGCTCAACATCAAGAAAACAAAGATTCTCACCACTGAGCCAATTGGCAGCATCAGTATGGATGGTGAAGAGATTGAGATAGTTAACAGTTTTAGGTTATTTGGTTCCACAATCAACACTCTTGGTACCAGCAACCAGGAAATCAAGAGATGAAATGCATTGGGACAGTCAGCTGTCAGGGACCTCTCCAGAGTACTGAAGAGCAATGACATCAGGCTGGAGACTAAGGTGCACCTGATCCAGGCAATAGTCTTCACAATTGCGTGCTATGCTTCGGAGAGCTGGACAATGACTAGGAATGATAGAAAGAGAATTGATGCCTTCGAGCTGCGGTGGTGAAGAGTATTGGATATACTAAGGACTTCTAGGAGAACAAATAGGTTTGGCCTGGAGAAGGTGAAATCAGGTTGCTCCTTAGAGGCAAGGATTCTGAAGCTTTGTCTGACATACTTTGGGCATGTTGCAAGGAGGGACTATTCCTTGGAGAGGGACATAATGTTTGGGAGAAGGGAGAGACAGTGCAAGAGAGGAAGACTCTCGATGAGATGGATCGATTTAGTGATAGATGGGAGAAGGTGTGTCAGAGACAGTGAAGTTGGCACAGGATAGAGCAGAGTTAAGGGCTCTTGTACATAGGGTTGCTATAAGTCACAACCAACGCAACAGCACATAACAACAACAAAAATTACTTAATTTTTTATTTAGCTTTCTGACTTTGTGCTTGTGCCTTCAATAGTTTCACAATGACTTCCTGCTCAATAAGCAGAATTGGGTCCTTTGTAAAAAAAGACGAAACAAGGATGTGCTCTTTGATCACTGCTATTCAATATTATATTGAAAGTATTTGCTAGGTCAATAAGACAAGAGAATGAAACAAGAGGCATTTAGATTGAC